ATTAGAAATCACTGATGTTGGAATATCATGGAGTCTGATTATATCCTTGATGTATAACTTGGCAAGCTTGTCTAGAGGATTTGTGGTCTTCGTAGGCAGAAAATGGGTTGATTCATTGGCGTCCTCAATGATCCATATTACATCATATTTCAATATGGTTCTTGGTATTCCCATCACAAAGTCCATAGTGATGTGCTCCCATTTCCATTCTAGGATGGGCAAGGATTGTAGTAAACCACCAGGGTTTCTGGTGCTCAACCTTTACTCTCTAACAAGTGAGACACTTACTGACGAAATCATAGATGTCCTTCTTGTTAAAGAGAGAAGAAAAATAGACAAAAATATTTTTTCTTATTTTTTCCTTATGTTAGATTAGGACTATATATAATCTTTACATGAACCTAATTTAGAAGAAACTAATCACATTAATTTAGGCAAAATACTGGAATGATTTACGACTAACTTGGTAATGAAAATATTTATGATTCCTATAATTATTTCATCAATTATTTTGTAATTCATATAATTTCTCGATCAGTAATTATTCTGGGATTCCGATAATTGCTCATCCATACTCTCCCTCAATTTTATGTGTAGATATCTTCAATGCCCAATTTGTTAAGTGAGTTGTGAAATATTTTGTTAGAGATAGCCTTTGTAAGTATATCTACTAGCTGGTCTTCTGACTTCATAAAATTGAATTACCTTGTCTTCGAGTTTCTGCTTGTTGAAATGTCAGTCCACTTCAACATGTTTAGTGCAGTCATGTTGAACTAGATTTTGTGTTATTGCTATGCCTGCCTTATTATCACAAATCAGGTTTATCGCGTCCTAAGATGAATATCCAATTTCGTGTAATAATCTTTTTAACTAAACTAGCTCTCACAATCCTTTAGCCATGGTTTTAAACTCGGCTTCTACACTGGATAAAGTAACCACCTTCTATTTTTTACTCCTTAAAGTAACCAGATTGCACCCCACAAAAGTGAGGTACCCAAATGTAGATTTTTTATTAGTAATATTACCTGCCCAATCTGCATCTGTATAACCATCAATGTGCAGATGTTGGTTTTTTTTTAACATTAGTCCTCTTCCTGGAGAAAACTTCAAGTGCTGTAAAATACACAGCACTCATATGATCTTCACTAGGACAATGCATGAATTGATTCAACAAGCTCATTGTATAAGTAATATTCAGCCATGTGTGAGATAAGTAGATTAGCATTCCCATAAGGCGTTGATACCTTTCTTTATTGGTAGGGGTCTTATTAGGAAATTCTCCC